TAAAAAATAAAAAAGAGGGGCTGGGAAGTTGGCTCAGTGGTAGAGCGCTTGCCTTGCATGCCTGAGGCCCTGGGTTCGATTCCTCAGCACCACATAAGAAAAAAGAAAAAAGCCGGAAGCTTAAGTGGTAGGGCACTAGCCTTGAGCTGAAGAGCTGAGGGACAGTGCTCAGGCCCAGAGTTCAGGCCCCATGACCGGACCAAAAACAATAAATAAATAAAAAAGAAATTCCTCAGAAAAAAGAGAGAGAGAAAGAAAGAAAGAAAAAAAGAAAGAAAGACTAATCTAGGGACCAGTGTCTTATGCCTATAATCCTAGCTATTCAGGAAGCTGGGACCTGAGGATTGTAGGCAGGAAAGTTGGTAATACTCTTATCTTCAATTTCCCACCATAACAAACAAACCAGAAGTAGGCTGTGGCTCAAGTGGGTAGAGTGCCAGCCTTGAGCAAAAAACCAAGGGACAGCACCCATGCCTGAGTTCAAGCCCAGTACCAGCACAAAAAATGTGTGTGTATGTCTATTCTTTCTGTTATTCTGTTATAAAATAACTAATAGTTTCTAAGCTACTAAGCCTTTCCTGGATCATAAAATATGCATCTGTCTATGTAGAAAGAGTTCTAATCAAAAAGGACTGTCAGGAAGGTCTGACTCAGCTACACTTCAGTATCACATGCTGCTTAGAACAGCTTTGAGCCATAATCTTCTAATCTTCCTGAGTCGTCCAGTTTTGCGTTGCTGTCTGCACTTTTAGCTGACTTCTGAAGGTCACCAGACTTCCAAGGTTCTGTGTGATTCTCCTATCTGATATAATATCTGTGCACTGATACCCTGAAGGTGCTAAAAATGATTCACTTAAACTTCTCTGAAGTCAAAGAGAGAACATTGTATGTCTTCATAAATTTTTCAGTGTGTTTAAGTTTTCTGTATCAGTTTCTGCTAGGCTTTGAAAGAAGCAATGCTAGTTCTATCCTTTTGCTGTTATTTTTAGCATGGCTACTTTTCAGCTCTCCTATGTTAAATAAATAAAAGGAAAACTGGTTAAGAAAGTGTCATATAATTTGTAAGTAGAAACTAACAATCTCGTTATGCTATACATTTATCATTAAAATGACTTCCAAGAGTAAGCAAAATTGTACTCATACCTATAATCCTAGCTACTCAAGAGGCTACTTCAAACTCAGTTCAAGCCTGAAAGTCCATGAGGCTCAACCAAAAAGCTGGTAGTGGAGCTGTGGCTCAAGTGGTAGAGGGCTAGTCTTGAACACAAAAGCTCAGTCTTGAACCCAGGTACTGAGTTCAAGACAGGGGAAGTTGGGGGAAGAGAGAGAGAGAGAGAGAGAGGAGAGAGAGAGAAAAAATTAAGGGAATTGGGCTGGGAAGGTGGCTCAGTGGTAGAGCGCTTGCCTTGCATGCATGAGGCCCTGGGTTCGATTCTTCAGCACCACATAAGCAAAAAGAAAAAAGCCGGAAGTGGCGCTGTGGCTCAAGTGGTAGAGCGCTAGCCTTGAGCTGAAGAGCTGAAGGACAGCGCTCAGGCCCAGAGTTCAGGCCCCACGACCAGACCCCCCCCCAAAAAAAAAGAAAAAAAAGACATAAAGATACAATTACTAAGCCAGGCACCAGTGGTTCACTCCTTAGCTACTCTGGTGAATGAGATCTGAAGATTCCAATTTGAAGCCAGTCTGGGCAGAAAGTTTGTGAGACTCTTATCTCTAATTAACCACCAAAAAGCTAGAAGTAGAGCTCTGGTTGAAATAGTAGAGTGCCAGCCTTGAGCGAAATGGGTAAAGGACAGTGCCCAGGCCATCAAAAACAGAATTTGGGGAATTGGAGGAATGAGCAGAGAGTTAACTGACCCACAGCTGTGTTGTCCAGTATGGAATTCTGAGACATAGGGTGGCTTGTGGCCATCTTGGAACATGGCTGGCCAGAATGGAGATGTGCTTTAATATAAATCATACCCCAGGTTGGAAAACTGTATCTCAATAATCTTATAATGAATAGATGTGGAAGGAATGCAACATTTTAATACACTGGACTAAATTGGATATATTATTTTAAAAATTATCTTTTATTGTTTTTTCTTATATTTTGCAATGTGGCTACTAGAGATTACATATGTGCTCAACAGTACTAGTTTAGTTGGTAAAGGAAGGAATTAACCAACACCAACAAGAAGAAAAATAACATGCACAACAATCTTGCATTGTAGTTTAGAAATAGAAAATAAATGCCTGCTGTGGCTCAAGTGGTAGAGCACTAGCCTTGAGCTGAAGAGCTTAGGGACAGTGCTCAAGCCCAGAGTTCAGGCCCCATGACCGGACCCAAAAAAAAAGAAAATAAATGCCTGTTATAAGGGAGTAAAGTTATTTTACTTTTTTGTTTGTTTGTTTGTTTTAATCCTGAAGCAGGGCGCCGGTGGCTCACGCCTGTAATCCTAGCTACTCAGGAGGCTGAGATCTAAGGCTCAAAGTTGAAAGTTGTTAGATCCACTCAGAAAAGATAGCCCCTTCCCTTTATTCTCTTTTCGGGGCTGGGAAGGTAGCTCAGCGGTAGAGTGCATGCCTTGCAAGCATGAGACACTGGGTTCGATTCCTCAGCACCACATAAATAGACAACGCCAGCAAAAAAAAAAAAAAAACACCCTTTGTTCTCTTTCCGCGGGCATGTGCGTAGCCCTCCCTATAAGTCCCTGCCCAACACCTGTAACCCAGGTAACTGGCCCACCTGGGGTCAGTAGGAGGTGCCCCAGGCTCTGAGGTCACTTCCGGATCCACTGTGGCCCCACCTCCTCCTCACTCTCCCCTAAATAATCTCTCCCCACCTCCCCCATAAATTCGCCCCCTGGTCCACCTTCATCTAGTTCAGGCTCTGGTTTCTCCTAATACTCTCTTTTGCCTGAACAACCACGTGAAGGTCTCTGTTTTCCAACCCTTACAAAAGTCAAGCCAGGCAAGAAAATCTGCAAGACTCTTATCTCCCATTAGCCAGCGAAAAAGCCAAAAGTGGAAGTTGTGGCTCAAGCAGTAGAACGCCATCCTTGAACAAAAAAAGCTAAGGGATAGTGCCCGGGCCCTGAATTCAAGATCTAGTACACACACACACACACACACACACACACACACACACACACAAATAACCTTGTATAGCTTGGAATCTTTCGGAACAATTGGAATCTTTATTCCCACATCCTTTATAACCCTGCTAGCGAGTATGGTCACCTGAAGTTTGCCGACAATACGAAGTCTTAGACCTGTTGATGAATCAATGTCTGAATCAATGTGAGGAGGGGAGTGGGAGGTGATGGAGTTCAGGATATAAAGTATAGCCTCAGCATACTGATATAAGTCAGCACATATCAGACCCAAGAGAGTGATGCCGCGGACCCTAAGGGGCTGATAGTGCAAATGAAATGGGGGGATTTCCCCAGTTTGGTGGGAAAGGGAGGGTAAAGGGGTTTTTGTTCTCTGCCTTCATCTGATTGAGACAGGCCCACATTGTGGAAGGCAGCCAGCTCTACTGAATTAAAAGTAAACCGCAGCCCCAAACACCCTCTAAATTGATACAGAAAGGTAACCCCCGTACCAGACCTGCTGAGTCTTAATCCTCATTTTAAAAGGATCCAATACGTGATTGTGCACCACTCAACTACGTGATTGTGCACCACTCAACTGGCAAGAATGGCAATTTGTCACTCAACAGAAGGCCTACATTTCTCAAGTTTTTTTTTTTTTTTTTGCCAGTCATGGGGCCTGAACTCTGGGCCTGGGCGCTGTCCCTCAGCTCTTCAGCTCAAGGCGAGCACTTTACCACTGGAACCACAGCGCCACTTCTGGCTTTTTCTGCTTATGTGGTGCTGAGGAATCGAACCCGGGTCTCATCATGCAAGGCAAGCGCTCTACCACTGAGCCACCTTCCCAGCCCACTACACTTCTCAAGTTTTAACTTGACAACCTGCCTCGCCCTTACTGAGCAGGAAGTCAGGGATGCGTTCAAAAATCCTCATTTTGTCTTCAGTACCTAAAACCTAGGTCCGGATTTCTGCTCTAACCTCACCCAACCCCCTTACCTGGTTTACTGACTAGCAATTGGCTGAAATGCAAACCTTCCCTGTGGAAAAACACCCCCGGAGGGCATCCGCATCCAACCTCTTCTCTATCCCTACAGAAGTGGTTTTCACTGCCCAGGGCGGATAAAAGACAAGAGTTGGCTTTTCCCTAGTTCCTCCTCCTTAAGAGTCTAGTCAGCGACTAGAACAATCGGAGGAAGAACCCGGAAAGGGGCGGGAGGAACACATCCATCCGAGGATTTGATGGACGGAGCAATAGGAGACTGCCCACTTTGAGTGGGCGATCTCGTTGCAGTCCACAGATTTCCGTTGACTGTCCTGCACTTCAGAAGCTATTTTAGGGACGCCGTCAGTCACGGGGTAGGATGGCACAAAGGATGCGGGCGGTCACATTGACTTAGCCACAGACTGACTGTACCGACCGCAAATGCAACCTGTGCATTTTCCCGGCTGGGTGGAAGCCCGCCCCTAAACAAAAGGGGCTTCAAGTTCCCACTTCCGCCCCTCAATAAAAAGGGTTCAAGCTCCCACTTCCGGGCTCTAGAGCGTCAGAGGGCGGGATCTTCCCCCAAGAGCACTCGCGAGCCGAAACGCGTACAGCCAACGAGCGCGCGACTACACATCAACGACACCGCCCACCTGGTCGGAACTTCCGGAACGTCCGGAACTCCGCTTTTTCCCCCTCCGCCCTCCCGCTCCACCCACGCTGGAGTTGCCCGAACCTAAGATGGCGGAGGGGTGGAGTGGACGCGCCTACCTGTGGGCGGGGCCTCGGTAACGAGACGTGGCCGGAGGCGGTGCTGGGATGGGGGCGGCGCCGACGCCGGACTCCCGCCCCTCCTCGCCGGGCCAGGGCGGCCTGGGGCCCTTGGCTACCGCACTCCTCACCGAGGAGTCTCCGGCGCCGGCGCTCTCCGAAGGCGATATGAGGCCCTTGGCGCGGGGTCGGGCGGCGAACGAGGAGGACGAGGAGAGCTCAGATAGCACGCCTCTCCTGCAGGCTCCCGGACAGGCCGAAGCCGGTGAGCGGCGGG